TATATAACCTAAGCTGTTATGGTTTATGGTTTTAAAGTTTTATAAAACCCTACCCAACCCTAAATATTTACTTCAAATTTTACAATTTGAAACTTTTAGTTGTCAACTTCTTATCAAGGTTGTTGGTCTAACTAAAAGAAATTTCAATAAAGATGGGTTTTGTGAAACATTTCAGATATGCCTTAAAATATAGTTTTCTGTAACTCCAACTATAACATACGGAGTTTTATGAAATTTACTATTTTTTTACGGGGATGAAATTTACTGATTAACCATAAAAAAATAATTATAAGTTAAACGAGAGTGATTATACATGTCTTGCTCGAAAAGATTTCGAGAGTTGTTCGGAGCCATTGTTTCGCTTATTATATTTGCAAATGAAAAGTAATTTATAAATAAAACTTTCACATATGTGTTCTTAGCGATCTAAAAGAAAATGCTGAAAAATAAACTTCAGTGAGAAAACCTTAAAATCATCTCCAAATTTAAGGTTAGAAATTCAAATTTTGACTGATAGGCATAATCATAAGCGAAAAGACGAGTCCCGTTTATGACGCAATACAATTGAAGCAGTATAACACTTGTTACGAAACAGTAAGTGCAGCGATTTGTATACCATGAACCAGCATTTGAATGTCTTCGTATCATAATCTTATACGGCATTCTATCAATCGGTATGAACACTTCGTGACATGAAACGCTAAGGACATAAGGACATGTTTGACAGGGCTTCAACTCCACCTCTTTTAGAGCTGAAACATTAAAAAAAATAGAGCAGGGTTAAGGTTGCGTCGCAACTCTACTTTGGAGAAATAACACAGGCCTAAAAATATCCTAATAGGATTTTCTCCTGTGGGTGAACATGTAATCGGACACAGCTACCATTCCAAAAGTGTATATATAACTTCCCAATGAAATTATGGCCTTGTGTTGAATTCCAATTGGAACAAGTTTACTTTAGGTCCCTCAATTTGTCGCTGAGTTTGAATTGAACCATAATACCAGGTATAGCCCATCTCCAAACTCGCAAAATCGTGTCAAATTTCATCCCAAGGCAGTATAGCTCCCGGTTCCATCCGACGTAGCATTTTGACTCCGGTTAGCTGTGTTGAGTCAGCGTGGGACCCAAACAAGCTCCACATATCATTAGCCAACTCTTTCTTCCTCATCTCTCTCCTTCTCTTTGCCATCCTCACCAGGTCAGGAGTCAGGCTGCGGGCACCATAGATAGGGGCAGTGGTCGGCATCCGGCGATCAGTAGGGAGAAGGGCGGTTGGCCGCTGGTGGCATGGACAGGGAGGCGGTGGGGTCCACCTTGAGCCAGCGGTAGGTGATCCAAGAGAACAGTGGCGCCGCCAAGCAGGCACCCCACTTCCGGTTGGGACGATGTTAGCGATGTCGTCGCCGAGGGGGCTAGGGTTTCTGACGGGAATACATGTTACATTTCAGGAGCCAGAGGTTTAGTAGAGGAGGTGGTGTTTGTGTTGCTGCTACAGGCAGAGGTCGATTCTGTGCTTGTTTGTCCGACGTCCGTGTCGGGCCATCTCGATCACCTCACGCCGCCTTGTGAGTTGAAATTTTCTCTCTGTCGGCCATTCATGTTTTGTTTTGGAATTTTTGCTCGATAGTTTTTTGTGATTTCTGATTTCCCTGTGTTAGCGATACTAATTGCTTTGACCATATAACTGAATGGTGCCATCAACATCTAGTTCGTATATGACATTTTTGTTTTTGCGCTCATGTGGTCGCTTCAATTAAGTGAAAGCAGGGATGTGTCCTTAACAATTGTCTTTCATGGCATTTCTTTCCTCCGAAAGCACTGCATAAGAAAAAAAACCAAACTTTTGTCCCATGTGATGTGTTAGTATATTGCTGATATGGTTTGATCGATGTATGGCAACTCTTGGCAGTGACACTAATAAATGAATAATCAATGTTTGAATAAGATGCACACGCGGGTAAGGAACGGTACTGTAGTTGTATGCAGTACTTATCTCTTGTACTTTGGACTTGAACTAGGCTGGCTTCTTCTGGTATCATCACTTAGTTTCATGTCCACTACTATTAGTCACATGGTGCATTCCGATGTTTGTTATTTTCGCAATGTAGTTTTCTGAGCATTGACCTAGAAATTAAACAATCCATTATCATGTAGCGAGCCCTGGATTTTTTTTACGGGTAAAACAGCAGGAGAGGCTCCTACTGCACTTATATTAAAAGGAGGAAATTCACATAGAGAAACTATAAGGGGAAAATATAAGGGGGGAAAAGAAAGAGGAGACTAAGGTCCCATTCTTTTTCCTAACAAGAGTTGAATTGAAGATTAAGATTTTCGTGGCACTCTTTTCAAACTGCTAAACGGTGCGGTTCATGTGAAAACTTTCTATATGAAAGTTACTCTAAAATATCATATTAATCTATTTTTAAGTTTATAATAATTAAAACTCAATCAATCATACGTTAATATCACCTCGTTTTGTATAAAAAAACTTAATCTCCATCTTCATCTTCATTTTCAGTAAAAAAGAACACCACCCATGAATCCATGATTGCCAAGATGGTTTATCTGCTTCCTTTACTCTATGCATATGCAGAGTAAAATTACCCTAGTTTGGTTCTGTAAATGTAAACAAAGGAGAACCCACTGCTTTGAGATATGATCATGGTTGTTCTTGTCTTCCCTAATGAATCTACTACACTTGTATTTGTTAGGTCGGAAAGATGAGGAAGGGACTACATCCTCAGATGCAGTATATCTCATATGTGACTTAGAGTGGCAGGCTGATGAACATCATGATGACCAAGATCAGCCACACCGGCAAAGTGCACCACATGAGAGCGAAGCATCGGATGGCTCAGAGCCTAGGGCAGATTGCCAAGTTCAAGCGCCGATATGAGCTGGAAGCAGAGGAAAACAATGGCAGGTAGGGAGAATTGCGTGTGGAAAATAATAGTAGATGTTGTTGGTGGTAGGCGTGTAGCATGTTTCCGTGCTATCAACATAATGTGTGATCCCCACGTTTACTTTGTTATGCTTTACACCATTTCGGGTTGAAGCTTGAAATTTCTGAATTTCAGTTCGCCGCCTTCTGCTGTAAACAAAATTAAGAATGTAGACATTTTCCTACAATGAAATCCATTTCTACTGATACATGATGGAATGACTATTGTACTGGTGTTTGGAACCCACATTTTCCATTCAGTGTTTTGGAGTATTTACAACGCTGTGGCTTTAGCTTGTGGCTTCAATCCCCAGTTATGCTCGAATGCTTGGAGTAGCTCTTCAAATGTTTATCAATGTGTCTTCCACAAGACACAGGTGTGGGTGTCATAAGAGAGAGGTGATCCAAAGGAGAGCAAAAATGGAAGTGAGCGCTGCCATGGATCTGGTTCGCCCTGCTGATCCAAGATGAAAGGGAATTGAGGAGGATAGGGCTCCGTTGGCGGAGGTTGGCAATGGAGAAAAAGAGTGCCGGTTGCATTTTGGTATGGGAAGGAGACGTAGCCGGTTGTGATGAGAGCAAAGGTCTCGCTCATGAGGTGAGAAGAGGAGGGGATAACGAAGAAATAAGGGAGAGGTTTTCTATGCAAGGTTTGCTTTATAATTTCTGTGCTAAAACTTTTAGTCAGAAGTCAAATAAAAATATATAAGAATTTGATGGAAAGTAGAAGAGCTGAATTACAAAATTATGTAGGGCCTATCTAGAGTTATCCAACATTGTAAGAGTTATATCTCTCTACATGATTTTACCTAAGTAGCGCGCCTTTTTCTCGTGAGGGCTACACCACGAAACCACTTTAATTGTAAATATTGTATACTCTTCAATCTCAAGGCGTATGGTCCATAGGCAATAAAAATATCTACATCAACATCCATTGAACATATTCTATCTCCTTGATCCATATTTCTCATGTTAGTGTTAATATACTCTATCTCTTTTGCAAGAAGAGTTAATCTATTTAATATTGTCACTTCTTTTCCTAGCAATCTAGCAGTGAATATCGTATTCTTCTCTTTCTTCCCATGATATAAGCAGGGAATGTGAAAACGAGCTCCACCAGCAATGTTGACTCAAGCTTCGTACCAGTAACAACAAGCCAGACCATGAATATATCATCTCTAGTGGAGTCACGACACGCTCTTTCTCAACGAGATGTAGGAATGAAGATGTTGCTATGCTTATTGTCTCCCATGCCTATGTCATCCATACAACGTTACTTCACAAGGACACATTTATGTAATGATTGTGACGTATATGTTGATTCTACAGTTGGAAGAGTGGAACCAAGCTCCGTATGGTACCTACTTTTTTATATTAGCGTGTGGTGTTGGTACTAGTGTGTTCGTTCCTCCTAGTAAAATTGACACACTAGATAGATAGGGTAAGGTTAATTTTTATGACTCCGTCAGCATACAAGAGTGGTACCAACTATATGAAGCAATAGTTATGTCAATATCTACAACAATTAATTTTTTTTAAAGACCATAAGATGAGTCCAGTTGGGTCCTACCGATGAATTGCTTCCTACAATGGTAAAGCTTAAAGCTCTTTTTGACTGTATGTATACAATGATTAAAGTATTTACTGTTACAATATTTAATGCTTAGGGTTTATTTTATCAATATATATTGTGGATACCTTTCTGTAAAGTCTCTTTCAAAACATTTAAATTTTACAATAGTTTATAATTGGCTTGTTCGATGCAACTGTTTGAGCTGCATTGCATAGCCCAGTCGTTCGGCTGCAACGATCTGGACTATTTTGAATGCAGTCAGCTGTTTTATGCTGGTTGCAGCTCCTACAGCCGTTGTTGGTTGGCTGTTGTAGCCACCATAGATGCTGCAGCAGTACTAGAACAGCTAGCTCTTTCGAACAGGCCGAATAATTTTATAAGACGTAGATTAACCTTTTTATGGTAATAAAATAATACAACAATAATTTATTTTCCTTGATTTTTTTTGTGTGTTTGGGAATTGGGATATGCAAATCTGCTCGTGGCGGACTGGCGGTTGCCCTCGCACATGTCGTGGTAGTAGCTGTGGCCGTGGAAAGGGGAGGCAACCGCACAAGACGACACGAACGCCACCACCTGTCCCCATTTCCCCCAACATTCCGTCCCAATCCAATCCCCCCCCAACATGGCCGACTCCGCCGCCGCCGCCGCTGGGCCCCACCACCACCACCGCCTCCCCTCCTCCTCCTCCGCCTCGCCGCCGCCGCCGCAGCCGGACCCCGGCGGCAAGCGCCAGCGCCGCCCCAGCGTCCGCCTCTCCGGCTCCATCCCCCTCCCCTCCCACCTCCCCCACCCTCGCCGCATTCCCATCACCCCCGCCTCCCGCTCCCGCAAACCCCTCCACCTCCAACCCCACCACCCCAAGCCCGAGCACGAGGAAGACGACAACGACCACAACCCCTCCAACCCCGCCTCCGCCGACGCCGACGCCGACGACCTCGTCCTCGCCGCCGCCTTCCCCCGCAAGCCGAGGTCCCTGGAGGCCGTGCAGGGAGAGAGCGTTGCGGCCGCCGCGGCGGCGGCGGAGGAGGAGGAGGCGGCGGCTGAAGGGGAGGTGGTGGACGTGGTCGAGTGGCTGTGGGGGATCGGGATGGGGAGGTACGCGGCGGCGTTCGAGGCGCACGAGGTGGACGGGGAGGTGCTGCCCTGCCTCACCATGGACGACCTCCGCGACATGGGCATCGGCGCCGTCGGGGCCCGCCGCAAGCTCTACTGCGCCATCCAGAGGCTGCCCCCTCCTCCCGCTCTGCCTCCGCCTCCCCCGCCGCCGCCACGGAGGTGAAAACCGTTCTTCCTGTGGTGTTGGTAGTAGCTTAGCTCGGCCCTAACTTCGTCGGAAACTTAGGATGCGTGGGTGTCACCGTGCCGAATAGATTTAGGAGGTGTAAAAAGTGTAAAATAGATGGGGAGGAAGGTTTGATCTGTGCTTCCCTGTGGAAATGGTAGTGTTGGCCCAATGCCCATGGTAGTGTCACTAGTGTTGTGTACAAATGCAAAGAGGTGAAATGGAAATGCTAACTGCCCTGTTTTAATGTTGTCGAATTCTCTCCGTGGAGTGGTAGTATTTGTGAATGTGGAAAGATGAGATCGAAATGGTAACTGCAATGCTTTTGCAAGTGTTTGGAGATGCATCTTAATTGGATTAGGTGAAGTAGCCACATGCTTTGTTATTAGTGGAATAACATGATGTTGCTTGGTAGTGTGACAAATATGTTTAGCTGTGCTGGGTGTTTATCTAATGTTTTGTTGTTTGCGATTGATCGGATTAGCTCCTGCAACTGCAATAATCTTGCATGTTAGTCCATATCATAATATGCCCTCCAAGTAGATTTTGTCATTTTGCTATGCAGTTTGGTTCCTCTCGTAGGTGATAAACACATAAAAAATATGTACAAATGTTACATGCAACATTGTTTCTCACAAGTTGATTTGTCTTTATGGCAGCAATTACTATAGTGTGTAGTTGTGTACTTTCAGGTTTGCTGGTTCCAATTTTAGATTGAACTAGAGTATGTTGATGTGTTTTTTCTGGGTAAAATTGCTTAGTGCGCTCAGATTCCTCTTGGTTTTGGAAAGTACTGTTGTGAAGGAGGTCGGTGCCCATCTGTCACTATGCTTACCAGTTCAAGCTTTCTTAATCATTGAATGGCAGAAGTCAAGTTTCTGTCATATTGAGATGCCAATGCCTGAAATCATGTGACTTTGGAATCGAACTTACAGATGTTCAGAGACATTTTGAAGTAAGCCACATTTGTGCATGTCTAGTTAGTTAAATATTGAATTCTTCCTCATTTCCTTAACCCTTGTTGATAAGGTTTTACGTCCTTGTCCATGGCTCATGTAGCGTAGATAGTAACAGCTCACTGGATTGCTTTCTTTCTGGTCAGTCATTATCTCATTTTTCTTGCAAGTTTTGCTGGTTCGAAGGTCACGTTTTACAATGCTAGTGTTTTGGGCTTTTGGGCCTTTTCTGTGTTTTTTGCTATTTCCAGTAAGGAGATGCCGTCCCAGTTAGAGATTCAAGGCTATATCCTCCCACATTATTGCTGCATCTGCTTTATATGCTTCTGTTCTTAACATGTCTTAAATTGTTGATGACAAAGAACAAATCTTCAGGACTCTCAGTAGTTAATTTGTTTCTTTTCATGCTGTAAATGAAGCCATATATGCTCTAGTTTTTTTTTCACAGCAAGAACATGAGACCAGTTGCTTAAGCAATTTGAGAGGTGATCCATCTGCCATAAATGAAATCAAAGTAATTGAATTCTCCAGAACAAACTCTTGCATATTCTTAGTTCACTTTTTTGAAATGTTCAAGTATAAGGAAGAACTTAAAGCATGTCGTTATGATTTTGAAAACTCAAGATCTCTATGCTTTAGTACACTCAGCAACTTCATTGATCCACCTCAAGTACATTCTGCACTTTTGGGTTAATCGCCTTCCTGTGTAATGCTCTTTAACTCTTATTTGGTATTGATTGGTGTATCTGATCTTTCTTTGCATGCTTTTCTTGTTATCTGGTTTTGGCTGACTCGTGAATCATACCATTTGGCTTCAATGGATTATTAACCCATTGTAACCATGTCCTTATCCAAAACAACAAGTATTATCAACCCAGAGGGAGTATTTCTAGTTCTTCAATGTGTTTCATAGTGACAACTAGTTCTATTCATGTTAAATTTACAACAAAATATCCTGATGTCAAATGAAAGAACTAAAATCAGTGTTTCTTTACTAGTCTTTCATTTTGTTCCTAGCATGTTGTGCCTTCTAGCATAACATCAGGTATGAGATCAAGAAGTTCTAAATCAGTTACTGCTGTTAATCTTCTACTAGGAACTTGAATTCGCAGCCAATAGGAAAATGGAAGTTTTTACTACATACTTTGACGTCAAGATTGGCTCTCTTCCATCTATGTTAATTACCAAGTTTTTCTGACCCCTCTTATTTTGATTATCACGGACTAATTGTTTTTATGTTGCCAGACAGATGTCAGGGAGCCAAGCCAATGAAATGTACCTTCCCAGTCTTTGTATAAGCTGCAGTTTATTCAGGAAAGCATCGTAATGTACAGGGCTAGAGATAGTGTTCAACTTCAATCTAGCGGAGTATACAGACTACAGAGCAGAAGGGACTGATAGTCTAAACTAATTATCTCAATTTGTAGCTAGTATTGCCGTATGGTCCAAAATGTCTTAGGTTTGCCTGGTTGTTGCATGAATTACCACACTCACATTAGCCCCAGTTATGCTCTCTTTTTCGCTTTCCGTAGAAGGGTTTATTTAATGGACAATTTCTTTCACACCCTGGCCTATATATTGGTCAGTGTGCGCACTAACTAGCAAGTTGGTACCAATTCACACCCTCAACACATTTGTCCCTCCTCATGGGCTTTAATGAGATCATCTAATCTGGGCTGGGATGTCACGTGGATGGATGCAAGGGTGTATAGGTGAAATGGAAAATGATAGAGATGGAAGTTTCTGCCAATTCTATTTCCTAGGGTATTATGGTGGGAACTTTAGATAGCACCAGCTACTCAGGGTAATGGACAATTTCTTTCGCACCCTGGCCTATATATTGGTCAGTGTGCGCACTAACTAGCAAGTTGGTGCCAATTCACACCCTCAACACATGGGGGAATTTGTCCCTCCTCATGGGCTTTAATGAGATCATCTAATCTGGGCTGGGATGTCACATGGATGGATGCAATGCAAGGGTGTATAGGTGAAATGGAAAATGACACAGATGGAAGTTTCTGCCAATTCTGTTTCCTAGGGTAATATGGTGGGAACTTTAGATAGCACCAGTTACTCAGGGGACATTATAGGGATGCTCAGAAGGGGATCCTAAATGTCTGTGCTATATATGGCAATATAGAGGCCTGCTTGGCTGTACTTTACAACGCTATCTGCGGCTGCGACACAGCCGTGCCAAGGAGCAGTTGGTTGCGACGTAGGGGCTGTAAAGTGCAGCCAGATAGGCGATTTTATGATGAATCTCAAGTGATTCTGGGACCAAATATAGCATACCCTTGTACAAAACTGTAAAAATAATGGTATTTCTCTAGGTTCTCATTTTTTTTGGTTGGGAATGGGATCAATGGCAGCATCCTGGATGGTATCAATATTTTGTTAGAAGATATTTTCTTGTACAAGATTGAGGGTTGCTCCCTGAAGGCCATTCACTGTTCTTAGTCATTTTTGAAGGCCTACAGAAACCAGGACTGTTTGATGCTCAATATTCCAATGTTTGTTTGAACGTGCAGTCTACTTTAGATGCAGTTTGTGCACCATATGAAGGTCCAATCGAATAACAACAGATAAAGGCATGAATATTTGATGAAACAGAAATATTTGCATGCAGAAAAGAAAAACATTTTCTTTGAGATATGACATGTAGAATTTTGGATGGGCCTTCTCCTGATATGATGAAGGGAGCTATGCACTTCAACTTTCTCTTGACTTGTGTAAAGGGGGAGTGCATGCAAATGTTGATTTATGAACTATTTTACTACTTAGATGTCGTCACATGCCCCTAGCATTATATAGACATTTTAATATACTATTATTAATTCAATTAGCTTCTGACTTATTTATTTTGTTCATGGCACTAGTTGTGGCTTATATGAAAAGACAGTGGCAAAAGTGGATTGATAGTTTAACCTTATGGGGCCACCTTATTTTAGTATGTTAATGAATCATTTGAAGTCAGTTCAACGTGTGATGCTTGAGGAAGTTTTCTAGTATATTAATGGGAACACCATATTATTACTGAAGGGCATATCATTGTGCCTATATTGTGCTATACTTGTGTAAGTGGATTCAGGTGGTGGGCTTAAAGTGCTATGAAATCATTAGTTCATCACAGCCCCTTATAAAATCATTTTCTTCTCTGAGTACACATGAACATATTCTTTCTGGGATACTGGGTGTGCACTAGTGTCAGACCCACCACTTTTATGTTATCTTAATTTACCTGGGAAGTTCTCTTTAGTTTTTATTATCATCATAATTGTGAGTATAATAACCAAGCAATCAACATAAACTAGCCATTTCATCCTTCTTTTCAGATCTGAAGTTGCATAGTATATACTTGCATAACTGAATTGGCTCTGTCATTTCCTTCACTTTCAAGATGGCACGAGCCATGCAGATATGCTGTCAAATCAATCTGCTTTTTTGGTTCTATGATATTCTTACGGTATTAATGTTTTTTTATTCCTGTAGTGAAAGCCACTTGGATGGAAGTATCTTGCTGGTACTACCAAGTTACTTTTAGCTGGTACTAGCCAATCAATTAAAATTTCATTTTTTTATCCGTTATTTCATCCTTTTCTTTTCATCAACTGTCGGTGAGGACTATAGCAGGTGCTTCTCACTAGTATTGGTGCTTTGTCTTCTGTTAAATGGGACCTACCCCCACCTGCCTCAACTTTGTCTTACTCATTCCTAGCATGCTACATCAAAGGTTCTTAACTATGTTTACTAGAGTCAGTAAGTACCATGTCATAGTATATCCTTGCATCCTCTATCGGTGAGACCTCTGTATTGGAGTTGTGTCTGCTGGCTAACACTACTTTATTTCAAACGATGTTTATGTTCCAACGTATGTTGGCTGCAATTTAATGCTCCATTTACTTGTTTATTGGGGAAAAAAACCTTATTACCCCCAAAATATAAGCACTTAACCCCTTAAATATTTTTTGATTCATTCTACCCTTTGAATTTCTAAAAAAGACTCACTTTGCTCCCTGATAGATTTTTTTAAAAAAAAAATTATCCTTACAGAAAATATGTTTTAATTGAAAATTTTGATTGTGCCATATATAATAAACCTGTAAAAAGATAAACAGAAAAAAAAAAGAGAAATATCATTAGAGGGTAGAGTGAGTCCATTTTAGTAGTTTATGGGTAGAGTAAACCGAAAAATAGTTTGCAAGGCTAAATATTCAGGCAAAATATTTTAAGGGAGTAATTGGGGTTCTTCCTTATTTATTAGAAAAGGTTTAATTTTGCGGGTCTCCATCCATTAATTAACTTTTTCATTGTTACATTTTGTTTATTATATTTTGACCTATCTGTAGCTGTCATAGATACTCTGATCTATGCTTGGTTATGCACTTATGCTTGCTTGTATTCCTCTCGTTTGTATCTTGACTTGTGAGTAATCGTTTGCACTTCCTTGTCTTTGATGCTGACTTCGTACTGCCCATTTGCACTCTCTTTCATTGATCCTGACATGCTACCTGAACACTAGGATGCTGCTTCATGGCACTTCCATTGTGCTACATTGCGACATCATTAGGTCATCGTCTGCATTTCTTTTTAAATCTTTTGTACCAAAAGTTTCTTTCTGTTACAGATACAAAAAGTCCTGAGCATTGTAGTAAGGCTGGGTCTTATACCTTTCTTTTCTCCCTTCTCAGGTGCAAAAATTCTATCAACAGATTAATAAATGAACATATGAGATTCTGGACTTGCTGCACTTCCATATATTTGGAAAAAGGTAAGAGGAATTGCATACGGAAGCAATGTGATTGTAACAAAAATAATATATTGGAGTTAAATAAATATGAAAGAATTATTTCTCAGGGTTTTTGAAGTACACTTACATTTGGGTGTTACCTATAATCTAGTATCCTTGGGTGTAATGCTATTCTTTCTCATTGAATTGTGTGGTGAGGATTAGATGTTAGGGGAGGGAAAAAAAGGGGGGAGGGGGGGATCAGTGCCTGCGTGGGCTGTGAAAACTAATTACAATGTGAAAATTTGCTGTGTCTGTCTGTCGGTGTCCTGTTCTCTCCAGGTGCTAGCTCCTGCCGTAATTCAACGTCATGACCTGGTTCGTGCTCAGCGAGCCGGGGGCCGGCAAAACCGCTGCAGCCTCTGCCGGCGGGGTGCGCCAGATGGTGTCGCGGACGTGTTGCAGTGTCATCTCCGGAGGAAGGCGCTGCCCTCGACAGGTAATCTCTAACTGCACATAAATCCACATATATATCAATGCACTTGTACTGTGAACTCTGTTGCCACTGCTACCACTCTTGACTGTACAACCAGTAATAACATATTATCAAGAAAAAGACTGAAATGTGTACTCTGCTAAATTTCTAGTTTGAAATAGTTTTTTGTTTTTCCATGTCAAGGGAAAATAAATGTTGATGGTTCTTGGTGATATGGGCTATCAAATTTTTCATTGAATGAATTACTGGCAATGATTATTGAAATAATTTCACAGCTCAATATATGCGCAGTTTGGAACAAGTAATTCACTGTTATATCATGGTTTGTTCCGCTCAGACATCAGAGCAATAGGAAAAGTAAGAGCCTAATTTTTATATGTATACATATAATTTGGGAACCAGGAATATTTTGGCAACTTATTTCCTTCAAGTTTTTCAAACATCTCAATGTGGACGATATCCTTTACTGATTCATGGATATAGCCATTAGCCAGACAGAGAGTCAAGGGCAGAGGAGAGGGAAAAGAGGAAAAAAAATATAGGAGCTAATGAGTGGGGCACACTTGTATTAAGCTTAGTTTGTTTTATTCTTAGACTATATATATAATGTCTTCGTTTTACCGTTAATTTAATAGTTTTGTGTAAACTATTTTGTTGGTGCCGTTCAATGCATCTGGACCCAGAGCAATACAGGGTTGATTATCCGAATCCAGTAAGGAATCCTTCAGGTCCTGAATTCCTAACACTCCAGTTAATTCATTTTATTATACTAATAACAAAGTTCACACACGCAATGCACGAAAGGGCTTCTTTGTTTACTTTGAGGTTGGAGGATTGAAAAGGCCCAAAAGGGAAGTGCAAATATATAACGCAGAAATCAAGAGATGGGTTAGTAGTAGTGCCCAGGAAGGGCACTGTCGATCTCGATTGAGATCTTTGTTAGGAGGCCGGAACCCATCCACCTAATCCTAGCTGTTTATACTACAATATCTTTGGCAAATGATGCTGCCTTGTCGCCTAGTAGACGTGTCTCTTACAAAAGGGCATGTAGCCTAGTGGTTACAGTGACCTGAGTGGTACCCTAAGGTCCTGAGTTCAAATCTTCTATGGAGCGAATTTTAGATTGGTTGTTTCTAGGGCTAAGTTCCCTATTTCAATTGCCGTATGTATCCGGTTGGATGTAGAGGCCGGGTAAAAAAAATACCCTTATCTAAAAAAAATAATAAAAAAAAGACGTGTCACTCGCCCTGAAACTGGTTTCAAGCTTTCAATCAAACGTTTTAGGAGGGAACCAGTAAAGATGGCTTAGCTGCACGCTTAGGAGCCATGAATTTCACACAATTCTTGTGCCTTTCTAAGGCCACTTTAATTCTTATGTTAATACAGTGAAGGTGCCCCCAATTTCTAGAAGTTATTTTACGATTCTTGAAGAGATCAATAAACACACGCATAATAATCATCTTACAAAAATACTTTGGCGACTAAAAAATATAGTTTAATTTACAATGGGAGTATTTCACAGCAATGTATTCCGTTTTATTTTTAGAACACTTCAAATAACAATTAATTTGCTACAATTATATATATGTAGCCTCTCTTACCTTTTCGAATTGAATTAGGTAAAGTGCATTGCAGCAGTACCACACCTACATGCACGTATATATAAAGTCATCGAGAGTGATCACCAGGTATAAGAACGTTAGGGCACCATTCAAGGTGGAACCAATAATAGATACTAGTACTATATATCTCATCAGCTATAATAATGATGATGAGCTAAACTAATAAAGTGAGGTTAATACACAATTATAAATGCATGCAGAGTTGGCATGCATGCAGAAAGGTATTTGTAGTGGTGGACCAATACATGTATATGTACATTTAAACATGCTATGGTTAAATGGAAGCCGCCACGCACTAATTAAAATCGTTCATGATCGATCCCAACTCAACTACTGGCCTTGTATATTTTACAGACATACTTTTCAGACATGCATGTTCAATGGCATGGAATCAAAGATTTTGAAAGTTTACCCTCCTTGTTAATCAATTCAACGAACATGTAAAAAAAACTATATCTTTAGAGGACTGTTCTCACAATTATATACTGAATTATACACACTTTTAGTGTAAAGCCTTCAGATAGCTGAATTGATATGTTTGTTTTTTTTATAAAAAAAAACTGAAATTATGCTTGCTAATATATATACCACGAAAAAACTAATCGCTCTTGGGGGAAAAAAAGGAAAATTGTAGATGAGCTCGCTACGTACAGGATTGTTTAGTTACTTTAATTTAAGGCCGATAACATGACTTCGAAACGAGAAAATGAAGTAGGATTCTACAGAAAAGAGATACATGAACGCGCACATTATATGATTAACGCTATGTCCGTTTTTAAATATAAGGATTTTTATAGTTTATTTGGAGAGATTAAGAATGAAGGGAAGAAAACAGTATATGATGCCCCGCTATATTAAAATAAACTCAATCTATTGTGTACAAATTAAGCTTCAGAAAAAAAAAATTTGGCTAGTTTATGAGACAACAATAGTACATACTCCCTCTGTTTCATAATATAAAACTTTCTAGTATTGTCCACATTCATATAAATGTTAATAAATCTAGACACACATATATATTATATTCATTAAAATCTATATGAATTTAGGCAACGCTAGAAAGTATTACGTATTACTTCCTCCGTTTCATAATGTAAGTTATTCTAACATTTTCCACATTCATATTGATGTTAACGAATATATATATATATATATATATAGTAAATTTGTTTGGTGCTCCATGGTGCCCGGGCACCATTGTTGAAATTGAGTATATACCCAATTCAAATGAGTATGAAACTTTTTCAATTACTTAGGTATTAACATTAACTACTTTACTAACTAGTTTAAAGCAAGTTTGAACTGAATTTGAACTTGTTTTTGTTAGATTTTGATTCTAGGTATATAGCATCCATACATATAATTAGTTAGGTATGTAATCATGGATTGTGAAATAAAGTTAAATTTGAGTTGTTTTGTTGATAAGTATAGGTATGAATCAAATTATTATAACTAGGTATATACTCACAATTTGAAAATTTTGAAAAATTTGAGTAATTTTGTGCATTAGATACCATGGTGCCCGGGCACCATGGTGCCCCATATGAGTGTCCTATATATATATATATATATGTGTGTGTGTGTGTGTGTGGATTCATTAACATCAATATGAATGTGGAAAATGCTAAAAATGACTTACATTGTGAAACGGAGTAAGGACATTGCAAAACGGAGGAAGTAAAACATACGGTTAATAGTTAGGGACCCTAAAAAGGTATATTAGGGTTAGTTAATTATACAGTCATATTTGGAAAGGGTGCTTGTGAGATAATTTGCAAGCAATGGGGCAACTAAAGAATTGAGTGGCACTAGAAGCTGGCCGGTTTGTGTGATGTTCTAGCTAGCGGCTAACAGCGTGCAGGGTGCACACAACCTGTAATTAAGATATTCAAGTCCTAGACATATTTATGCATGCTTAGAAAGCAATTGTGTATTTGCAATTTTGCACTCACATATATAGCTAGATATTTGATGTCTCCAATAATTTTAATTGCGTGAGTGTGATGTATATCGAGCTAGTACATGCATCATATATTCTCTTAATTAAGAGAAGATATTTAAAAAATAGTTAAAGAATTCCTGACATTTAATTCATAAGAAGCTATATAACTAATTATTAATTACACCATTTACAGCTCATAGGACTGTCAATAAAAACTCGCAAAATGACAAGAAACCAAAAGGCACTACAGATTAATTAAGAAAATAATTAGATGCATATAAACTTCATTTTACTCCAAAATATCCAATAGTATAAATCCTTATAAATTACAGGTGTTAATTAGTACTTTTTCTAAACACAATTGTTAGTTGTTCAATCATCTCTCTATATATATATATCTAGCAAGCTAATACAATACCCCTACATATACTCCCTCCATACTCATAAAGGAAGTCGTTTAGGACAATGTTTAAGTCAAATCTTAGGAATATACATCATTAATAACTCTTAAGTCGATGAGTTTGAAAATGTAAAAATTATATGTATAGATTTGTCTTGAAAATACTTTCATAATAGTATACATATATCACTTTTCAATAAATATTTTTATAAAAATAAGAAGTCAAAGTTATGTTTTGGAGACCATGTCGCTGTCCTAAACGACTTCCTTTATAAGTATGGAGGTAGTACCAGCTAATTGAATTAATTGATTAATTTCCTACAGGGTCGCTGCCCCATGCACAGTGTCACCAATGAGGGAGGCTGCTGTGTCGGTGGGGAATATACAAGTACTACAACGATCTCTCATCCCATCATTTCGCTCCCTACGTAATTAAGGCAGAATGCGACACAGCGACGCTACTTCTTCGCTAACACACTCTTAGGCGATCGTATAGTATCAAAATAATACTAATATATAGGGACCATATATAATTAGTTGTATATATATGGTACTAATTTCTTCGTCAAGCTATAATATAGCTGGCTGCGATTGGTGAACAGCGAATCGCGGCGTACTGTAGCATGATGTGTGAGGAGGACCAGCTAGCTAGCTATATATAGCTAGCACGTCCAAGGATATGTCAAATTTGATGGCAAATAAATGATGATCACAAATTATTTGAAACGTAGAAAAAAATGCATAATATTCTGATTCCCTAATTAATTAACTGAAATTGAGTTGGTTCCATACGATACTATGTTATTTTTACTAAACAGTACTAAATAATTAAAGTAATACGACAAGAAAGAAAAAATGATCCTTAATTTTGGAAATTCATAAGACATTTCAATTTTACAGTAAAACTAAAAATAATCATGCCACGAGCTAGTCATATATAGACAAGAGGCAGCCAAGTAACATGCAAGTATTTATAATTAACAAGGGCAGTTAGAGAATACTATCTTTTTTTTTTATTTTCCCTCACTTTTAAGCAGCAGGTATTCCATATACGTACGTACAAGATACTTAAGATAATTTTGAAACAAAATAATTAATACACAAATTTTGTTATAGAGCATTACAGACACAATATTTTCAGGGAATTAGTGAACCCTATATGTAACAATTATATATATTGTACTCCCTCCGTAAAAAAAAAACCAACCTAGGACTTCGATGGGACACAATCTAGTACAATGAATATGGACAGATCCTAGGTTGGGGTTTTTTTTGGACGGAGGGAGTAGAGGTTAAATTATTCTAGTCAATGGCCTGTACTTTGTGGGGCCTTTGGATCTTTTATAGTGAGGATATATTGGTGTGTACTCTATAATGTAATATAACCTTATCTGGCAACCCATTAGCAGGAATAGCATGAACATCCTTGATACTACTAATATTCTCTGTGAAAACCCTTATTAGTTAATCAAGTTTGTAATGTGCTCATCTTTGGAATGTAGGAATATTTCACATGAAATTTTCAGGAATACAACAAAATTTGGTTCATTTGGAAACTTGTGTCAACATGTTTCAAAAAATCATGTTGGGCTACTACGTGGATCGCTTTTGCATATACGCCCACATCGAGCTTGAGAAGTCAATAGATTTGCGAGCTTATAATTTGTCCAAGGCTTGACCTTTGTTTAAATATTATTCAGAAGTCGAGATTTTTTTTTTGACAGCCCTATAGCTAACAAAAACACTCAGTAGAATAAAATGTCATGGTGGTTGGTATACTTGGTAACCATTCATCACCTGTCGATTGCTACTGCTGAGGCTTTCGAGCATGGAGAATTCAGTGTACGATCGACGACCAAGTGTTTTTCAAACTCAAAGATCGACCTAACCTAGCTGGATCAAGGACAAGTTGGTGAATTAGACGTTAATTAGTTGCTCTCAAATATATATGGTCGATCGAGATAGTCACAATAAATTAAGGACCTCGATCCCATTGGCTACACCCCGTTTACCCTATCTAGCTACATCTTTAATTGCTACTATGTACTATTCTCCTATACGGTTTTAAAATGGATTGTTTTCAATAATTTTTCAGTTGAATTCTCAAATAAATGTATTAATTATGCACCAAATTGGATTTTTTTTACTTGTAGAAATCCAATTAGGTCTAATGGACCAACAATTTCCTGACATGTCAAATTAAGTTTGCTGCTCTCCGTCGTAAAGAATCCATTTCTGGCTATGCACCTGATCGAACAATTACTTCGTCTAAGTGCATAGCTACAAATATGGTCTTTTAATTTAGGGACTGAGCAGATATACGTACACATTTCTTTACTTAGGTACCTTTAAATTAAGTTAATCCAAAATCAAAATCCTCGTTTAAATTTTGTGACTACCCATGGGCGTTGGTGATTAGCTAGACATGCAAGTAATAGCTCGGAGGGAGAAACATATATCCATGAACATATAACAATTATATTAGTATATGCTAGTGCCTGTGATAGGGACTTCTCATGCTCTAGCTAGGACTAACTAATTAAACAGTGTTTAAAAAATACCTGTTCAAATTCGAAAGAACAATATCAAACGGCTAGCTAGGCTAGCTTGCAAATAATGCATCTATTTTTTGAAATAATTAAAGGGACATGCATGTGTCATAAATTAACCCTTTTTCCTTAA